GGTTAGCAAAAATTGTAAATGTGTGACCAAGAGGGAGTGGGACAGGACAGGTCTGAATTGAGTCCTGAAAGATGGATGAATATTTGCCATATGGATAAGGAGGGATTGGGAGATAGAATTTTTAATCTCTTAAGGTTTATGAGAAGATTCTGGAAAAAATCTTTGCTTAATAACCGGTCATGTTCTGTGGATAGAGGAAATTACACCCTGATTAAAATGCTTACTGTACTTTTAAAGTTAGAGAAATATTCGTTCTAGGAGTGGGAGGGCAGAGGCAATTATTTAGTGTAAAAGTCTCCGCTTTTGGTTTTCATACCTGCCAGCTCTTCCTCCTACTGTCCACAGAATTTAATAAAACTAAGTGCATTAAACTCCTTTTCAAAAATTCACATGTAGTCCCTCTAATTAGTCAACTTGATATGCCTAAAGTCTTGTGTGCCAAACTTTCTACTGGTGTGTTTTGTTTAGATAGGGAAGTTTTAAAGGAGAGGCAAATGGTCTTTGAGGAAACCACTTTATAGTTGCGTTCAGAAACTGAATTCCCTTCTTTTTAAATGTGTTTTAAATATATATATATATATATATATATATATATATATACACACACATACACATATACACAATTTATATATATATAGAAATTGAAAGTATTACTTGAAATAGGCTGTGTATTAGGGGAGGGGGGCTGGGAAGCGGATAGGTTCTTGTGTTACGGTGTGGAATTGCTCAGCTCTGCTTGGGTCGTGTGTTCTCTTATGGCTGTTGTGCTTTACTGTTGCAAGGCAATATGGCATAGTAGTGATTTGTGTTGCAAGTATCTCAGTTTAACATCTGCTACAATACAAAGCTTTTAGTCCTAAGAATTTCAGGAAAAAATGTGAAATTTGAATACACCATAATATGCACATTTTATAAGGTTTTTGAGGTATTCACTTTGTGTGTTGGTATTGATTGTTATTTGTGTCTATTGTACAGGGAAATTTTTAACCTCAGAACACAAATGTCAGATTCTGAACCTAGACTCTGAACTAAAAGACATAAGAAGTTTGTTCACAGAACACTTTAAATGTTACTGTAGTTTTTTTTAATAAAACACAGAGGCTCAATAACAGCTCACTAGATTTTTGTCATCTAGAAAAACTATAATGTTGTATATGAAGGCTTTCAGTTAGTTTAAAGGAAAATGATGAAAAGTAAATATAACTATATTCAATAATAAAATAAATATATGTTTTAGTTTGAAGACATGGTAAAAACTTTTAAAGCAATAGTCAAGCTTAATTTTTTTTTTTTTTTTGAGATGGAGTTTCACTCTTGTTGCCCAAGGTGGAGTGCAGTGGCGTGATCTCAGCTCATTGCAACCCCTGCCTCCCGGGTTCAAGTGATTCTCCTGCCTAGTACCTGATTCTCCTCCTGAGTAGCTGGGATTACAAGCATGAACCACCATGCCAGGCTAATTTTGTATTTTTAGTAGAGATGTGGTTTCTCCATGTTCATCAGGCTGGTCTCGAACTCCCAACCTCAGGCGATCTGCCAGCCTTGGCCTCCCAAAGTGCTGGGATTATAAGCATGAGCTAATGCACCCAACCTCAAGCTTAATTTTTAGAAAGAGTTCATTAACCCAGTTAAATTTATTTTTATTGAAATAGTACCATTAATATTCTGTTCTAAATGTTACCTTTTTGCGAAGTATGCATTCATTGTTTTAACCTGTGCAGTTCCCTAAGAAAACTATTTTCACTAAGTCAATACTTTGAAAAATGTTTAAACTATTATTTCTGGGCTTTATTCCCATTCTTTTAATTCTTGATATAAAGAGCAATTCCTTTCAAATTACTGAGCATACATGGACATTTTATCTACCTATTCTTTCGTTAAAAAAGCCGGAGAGCTGCCACATATCCACTGTTGCTATCAGGTGTGCATGTCAAAATATTGCCTGTCAGGTTGTTAATTGAAATAGCACTGAATGGAACCAGCATTTTAAATAAAAGTGAGAGTAGGCAAAAAACTAAACTTTCTATTTACTAACCCAGAAAGACTAACACATAACACTCTGACTAATACAGATGAAATCCAGGAGCTATGGCTCTTTCCTGTAATCCCAGCACCTTGGGAGGCCAAGATGGGAGGACCACCTGAAGCCTGGAGTTCAAGATCAGCCTGGGCAATACAGCAAGACTTCTGTCACTTCAAAAAGTTTTAAAAAATTAGTCAGGCATGGTGGTGCAGGCCTGTAGTCCCAGTTACCCTGGAGGCTATGAGGGCGGATTGCTTGAGTTCAGGAGTTCGAGGCTGCAGTGAGCCATGATTGCACCACTGCACCCCAGCATGGGTGACAGAGTGAGATCTTGTCTCTGAAAAAAGAAAATACGTTTATTAGTGTCTTCTGTTTGCCAGGCTTTGTCCTAGATACAGTAATATAGCAGCGAATGAAACACTATGTCTGCCTTCCAAGTATTTAACGATCTAGTTGTGTATGATGGCAAGTAAGTGAGCAGATAATGATCCAGTATGATAAATGCTGCTAAAGAGGGAAGTCATGTTAGAAAATCAGGAAAAGTTTCCCAGTGGAAGAGGCAAGCAAGTTAACATCTCCCCTTGTTAGTGTTTCCTTCTTAAACATTCCATCAGAATCCATCAGAATACACTGAAGTAATAAAACTGATAAAAGATTTTTCCCATTTTGAAAAAAATCTTTAATTTGCTTCATAGTTCAGGAAAAAACAATGTTGTTTTGATTCAAAAGGTAACAGATTAAATGTGTTTGACCTGGTTTTTTTGTTTGTGGACTATTTCAGCTGAAGCTCTTATTATACTTTAAGATATGTGTTAAAACTTATATTTCTCCCCAAATCATACCCATTTAAAAATTCAAAAATTTAAAAATGTTAAAAAGTTTAAAATTTCAAAAATTAAACGTAGGACTTTTTGTCCTATATTTTTACCATCCATTTTATATGTAAGTATATATAGATAATATACTCTTTGTAGCTTAATGCAAAATAGATGTCCTTAAAGCAATTTGGTATTTATTTACAAATATGTCTGTACAGATTTTCTCCTGATTTGAAATTGCAATTTTATCATATATTTAGAGAGAAAAATGCCAAATCACGATAGGTTGCACTGGATTTCATATAAAGCTGTTCGGAGCAGTGCAAGAGTCTTAGCGGACTCAATGTTTTTCCTACTTCGTGTTCTTCCATGTAAACCTGATTGGAGAAATTTGTCATCACTTTTTCCTTTACAGAAACGATAGCAAGTCAGCATCCATTTGTAGCTACTGGTTCATCTCAAATCTTTAGCCTCTTCTACTTTTTTTTAATGGTCTTTGTCATGTTTCATCCTAAATTTATATCTCTAGCCGCAGCTCCCCTTGTCAACTTCAATTGTTCATTCTTAGTCTTTGCTTGGATTTCAAATTTAACCTAACCAAAACAGATCTGTGGGACTTCCTCTCAACTCCCTATAACCAATCTTGTTCCTGTGAAATTCTTCCTCATCTTAATAAATGGTAGCTATGATAGTCCATTTGTTTAGGCCAAAAACTCGAGTATTATCCTTAATTCCATTCATTCCCCCTAAGCAGTCCTGCAGTAAGTCCTGTTGGCTGTGTACCCACTTCTCCCGCCACTGACATCCAAGTCACCGGCATCTGTCACCTGGGCTCTAGCAGTGACCTCCTAACCATTTTCTCTACTTCCATTCACCTTCTTATAGCCCATTCTCTATACAACAGCCAGAACAAGCCTTTTAAGCAGAAGTCAGATTTCTTTATGCCTCGGCCCAAAACCCAGTGGCTTTCTGTCTCCTTCTGGACAAAATCCAGCATGGCAGTGAGGCCCCGAATGATCTGGCTGTCTTTGATCTCGTATTTGCCCTTGCTTACCGACTGCTTTGGTCACAGTAGCCTCTTTGCTGTTCCTCTGTCACCAAGGGCATTCCTAGCTTAGGGCCTTTGCACTTGCTCCTTCTCCTGATACGAACCTTCATCACCTATGTATTTACACACGTCCATTTCAGCAGTCCCTCAGGTCACTGCTTAAATGTCAGTTTATCCTAAAGGGCTTTCTTGACAACTGTCTCTCTGCAAGGACCTTGTTTCTCTCCTTGGTATTTATCTACATGTGACAGTTTTCTATCATTGGGTTTGTTTTTTCTTTTAAATCCATCTCTTCAGCTAGAACTTGAGCTCCAGGAAGGCAGGAACTTTGGTTTTTTCTTCACTGCTCTTTCCCTAGCACCTGTCTGAAGCAGCGATGTATAGCCAGGATTTAGATTTCCTGATTGTGGTCCAGTGCTCTTTCCATGGTTCTGTGTGGCTTCATACGTCAATTTTATTTCACAGAAGAGGTTTTTAAGTTTCTTGAGCACAGTGGCTGCATTTTTTATTGCTCTTGCTCCATCTCCACATAAGACATAGGACTGTGCCATACACCCAGCGATGGACTCCTAGAGAATGCTGTGGCTTGGCTAAATGGCTTCCAGTGCTCCCCGTGGCCTTCATCAACGTGGATCACAGGCTCACTCAGGGTATACTTCTCATTTTGTAGGAATAAGAGACAAGTGGTTCTTACTCAACAGATACACAGTGGCATTTGGAACCTGCATGCTGTTTGACTGAAAAATCATGTATGGTAGAGATCTAGTTTTCAATAAATAGCTTACTTGTATTCTGAATTTTGAACATTTCATGTAATTGTAACTTGAGGTGTAGTGGATAATGAGACCGAAATTAATAGTTCCTGTGGTGGTTTAAGTCTCTTTTTTTCTTCCCAGGAGGTTGTTATTTCTACACGTAGCCACCTGATGTTCTTAGTGGGAGTATATCCCAGATAAATTCTATTGTAAATCAAAGAGTATTCATGTTTGGCTTGAATCTTTCCTAAGCAACTACGAAGACGCTCCTACATTTGATTTTGAAAATTTTTATTCTCTTGGCTGTGAAATTTAAGTGACTCTAGTAATATTGATGGTTTTCCTCCTTGTTTTTACAGGTGATCTGCAACTCTTTCACCATCTGTAATGCAGAGATGCAGGAAGTTGGTGTTGGCCTATATCCTAGGTATAGTGTATGGTGCTTCATTTACTGGAAGACACAGCTTTCCTTCCCACCCAAATCCCCAGCCCTTTGTGGGTAGTTAGAAAGGCAGTTGCAGCAGCTGGTTCAAGAGCCAAGCTTAAAACTTAGCAATAAATTACAAAAAAAAATGGAAAATGTTAAGTTTAAAGAAAACAATTTTATAACCCCACAATATATGCTGTGGTATTAACAAAGAGGTAGATCTCAGATCTAAATTCTTGTTCTCAAGGGGACTGTGGGTGAAGAAGTTGAGGGCTGTGGGTGCTAATTAACCATCAGGCTGATCTTTGGTTATTACCTCACCCCTCCACTGATCTTATTTCCCAATTTCCTGAGCTGAAGCACGTGATTATTTCACCAGATTCACCATACACATCAGTTGGGTTCATTTTGTATTTTGAGTTGGTATACAGTGAACTCTGTCACTCGTGGAGGCAAGAAAACTCCCAGGCTCTGGCCCCTGAATGCTTTTTGCTGAGCTGACCCTCACCACTGAGCTATGAAACTCTTTCCACAAGCACTACAGTCACTCCCAGTTCCATTTTGTTTTTATGCCATAAGAGTCTAAATACAAATGTAGACTTTCTAATAATTGTGAATCTAAGAATCCAGCCTTTTTTCTTATTTCTCACCATTGTGATTAACCATAGGTCAGGTCTATTGGTAGTGGTTCTCAAAAAGCAGTAATATTGAATGATTCAAAGCATGGGCTCTGAGTTCAGGCCACATGGTCCAAATTCTGTCACCACTTACTGGTTGTATGTTCTTGAGCAAGTCATTTAATTTCTGTGTATTAGTCTCTTGCCCGGTAAATGATCCTCATAAGACTGTTGTGAGGATTAAATGTAAGAAAGTTTCCACATAATAAGTGCTCATTCTAATTAGTATCAATTGATGAGAGCAGCTTAAATCCATTTTGTTTCCCAGATGGTAAAAAATGTACCTCCCAGGTAATAAAATGACTGGACGATGATGGCCCAGGGTGCATCACAATGTAGCTGGCAAAATAACATCAGCTGTCTATTTAAGAGGAAATATTTCTAATTAATCTTCACTGTGGATGTTCTAGCAAAGACAGCCATTTCTCCAAAGGAGCTCAACGAATGAGATCCTATGGGAAAGGCTGATGGTATCTTGACTGCTGCATCCCATTATCTCTGAGAGTATTTTTTTTTCTTTCTTTCTTTTTTTTTTTTTTTTTTTTTGGGGTGGAATCTTGCTCTGTCACTCAGATTGGAGTGGTGTGATCTTGGCTCACTGCAACCTCTGCTTTGCTGGTTCAGTCAATTCTGCTGCCTCAGCCTCCCAAGTAGTTGCAACTACAGGCATGCGCCACCACGTTTGGCTAATTTTTTTGTATTTTTAATAGAGACAGGGTTTCACCATGTTGATCAGGCTGGTCTCGAACTGCTGACCTCAAATGATCCACTCACCTCAGCCTCCCAAAGTGCTGGGATTACAGGTGTGAGCCACTGCATCCAGCCCTCTCAGAGTATTTCTTTGTGAGTCAGTTTTTTTCCCACCTTCATGTTGGGTTGCCTTCTTGGCTACTATCTAATCAGTCAGCTATGCCCTAATCCCCAAAAAGGACTTAGAATTTTTTTTTATTATTAAATGATAGAATTCCCTAATTACCCTGCATCTTGGGGAGAATTGAACTTCACAGGAAATGCGCTAGTGACAGTTCTGTGAATGCACCCCAAATACTCCATTCCTGGTGTCCTGTCGACCCTACCTCTGCTGCCCACCCAAAGTAAGGTGTGTTTTACCCACTGCATTTGTTAAATTTAGTTATTTGACCCTACCTGCTGAGCTGTGACAGTTTTCCCCTTTTTTTTTCCAGTATCTCCTTGCTCAATCACAGCTGTGACCCCAACTGTTCAGTTGTGTTTAATGGGCCCCACCTCTTACTGCGAGCCGTCCGAGACATCGAGGTGGGAGAGGAGGTAAGGAAACCCATGCTTCCCACTACCTGGCTTCTTTCCTATCAAAGACCCTCTCAGCTTGGCCCAGCCCTAAAACTGATTCTGCCAGAGGGGGCAACTTTTCATTGTCCTTCTGCCAGTGAGAATATTCATAGTATAGTCACCTCTCCCCAGCAATCTATCATTTCTTCTCCCAAATTACAAATGGGCTAAATTTTTAGGGGAGAGGTCACCATATTTCTGGATGATGACAGCTCCTTTCCTATGTGTGTGAGAGAGAGGTGTTTATGTGTGAGACAGAGGGTGTGTGTGCTTTATGCACATGCAGGGACATCATTAAATCTCCTTGGTAGCGACAGCTCAGCAGCCTCTCATATCCTCCCGTGGGCAGGGAGGGCATTCCAGCTTGTGAATGGGATCCCCAAGACTTATTTACTCAAAAGGCCACTGATTGCATTTTGAAGGTAGTTATGCATATTTACTTTGTGTTAATAAAGCAAACAACTTAATACTCTTTCAGGCTGACTTTGGGACTTTACAAACCCATCTGCATGTCTGAGTGATCATTTAAGCAAAGAGGCAAAGGGAATAGAGGGCAGGGAGGCTGGCCTCCAGCAGTGAACTGGTCTTGACCTCTCCACTGTTATAGACTGCCCAGCCAGCCTCTTTTGGTGAAGAACCTTCTCACAAGGCAGCTGCAAATGGGCTGCTCTGGGGCTCTGAACCTAAGCCTGTGCTGGTTTGCACAGTGATTACCCATGCTGAGTTCCGAGTTACAGATAATTTACTCTTTCTAGAACCCGGTTTCCTTCTCCTTTCCAATTTGCTAAAGTGGATATTTATTGCAAGGAAAAACAATATCAAAAGCTTTTATTGCATTTATGTAGCACTCAGCCAGTAAAACCTAAACTCAGAGGGACCATATTTTATGTAGACAGGGATTGGTTTTGACAAGATTCTCCCCAAAGTGATTTTCCGTGGAATGAACCACTTCTTACACAACTACTTGCTAAATTTCCAGATTTTAGGACCAGTGTATGAAATATACTGGGATATATGTCATTGAGATGGCGAATTTAGATTGTTTTTTTCCCCTGGGGCCATAAACGACTTCAAGAAATGGAACCACTTTCTATTTTCAGCAAGAGTGGCTGCTGCTGTTGTCAATGATGATGATGTTTTTGCAAATTAAGGAATCAAGCAACTTGACGAAAACAATTTGAATTGGTTGGAATTTTCAAAAACAAAGATTCTTAAATTTTCGTGGAGTTGGCTGCCAGGTTTCTCCGTCGTTGGTTTTCTCTTAGTTGAGTGAAACACCTTGTCTTTCGGTGCTGCTTTGACTTTCCACATCTTTCTCCTTCCATCTCTGGAGCAACAAGCAAATCCTTCCTCTTGCCCAATACAAAACATTTCCACTCAGTGTAAAGCCCTTCAGACTCAGGTATTTTCCCCTCTGGCACCTAGCAAGGCATCTTCTCAACAAAAAGAAGATTGTCCCCACAGGTCCTTCGTATATACCCGCTTATTAAGAGAGTGAACATTTCTCCATTCCATTTTGTAGGTCTAGCTGAACAGCGCTTCCCCTGATTCATCGTCCCTCTCTCCGTCCACTATGTCTGTTTGTTGTAATGTTATATGCCCTTCAAGGCCCTTTGTCGATGTGTCTCCCAGATTTCATCTGTTGGAAACTTGATCCCCAAATTCTTGTCGATGATTTGTGGAGGTGGCGTCTTTGGGAAGTAATTTAGATTAGGTAAGGTTATCAGGGTGGGAACCCCATGATGGGATTGGTGGCTTTATAGGAAGGGGATGCTCCTGCCATCTCATCATGTGGTGCCCTCCACCGTGTTATGAGGCAGCAGGAAGGCCCTCCCCAGATGCCGGTGCCATGCTCTGTATGTCGGCAAGTTTGGGAGAATGAGGGTCAGGGCAATGTAGTAGTTCAGGGAAGAGATAACAATGGCAGCCTGAAGTGGGGGGAGGTCAGGTGGTGGCTTGTGATAGGGTATCTGAGAAATGTAATATTTAGAAAGTAAAATTAGCAGGATTTGTGAAGCAAGAAGAGGCTAAATGATACTCAGGTTTTACTGAGTATCATTCCTTTTAAAAGGAAGTGGTATTTTTTAGGCTTTTTTCCAGTTTAGAGCCAGTATTAACAGAAAAACTTGTAATTGATCATGTGATTCTAGAAATGAAACAAGGTCTAATTTTAATTTGGTCATCTTCCCCACTTCCCCATTGAGTTGCAGACAATGAAAAGATGGCTTCATGGAAAAGGAGTTCATTTTGTCTTGAGATTCTAATGTAAGCAATGTATTCGAGACCTAGAAAATCACTGCTCTAGTGTCAGAAATGATTGACTGCATTTTCCATAAGAGCTGCACTAAAATGGCAAAACAGTGGTCAGTGGCTTTAATACTTTAATGCAGTTTTGTTCTGTGCCATTAAGGTATCAACTGATCAATGGCTAAGTTTAAGATTCATGTTCCCACTAAATGAGCCCTGCATTTAGCGAGCAGATACTCCATTACAACTGGTGAGTCTTTAATAAAGGTTTTTATCTTTGGCTAATAACATGATTTTAGCTGTCATTACCAGTTAGTAATCTGGCTGTTTTTTCTCAAAAATATGAATAAAACATTTTTGCCATTGAGCCCTTCAGAGTTGATATTTTGCAGACTTCATTGGCACAAAAGAAGCACAAAAATGGGTCACTTTCTCTGAGGTAATGGGGCAGTCCCCATAGGAAGAGGTGTATTTGAGCCCAGCTTGAAGCATGAGAGACTCTCAGTAAGCTGAGTTTGGAGGAGAGGCTAGGCATAGACAGTGATGCCAGACACATGTTGGCATGGTGTCCATTGTTTCAGAGGTATAGCAATGTACATAACTGTCTCGGGGAGAGACGTGGAGACTCTCTTCTGTCTACAAAGGCAGACAGAAAAATCAGTTGAGGGAAAGCCTTGTGTGCCTTATTCATAGGCAGTGAGAAACCATTGAAAGTTTTCGTGTAGAGAAATGACGTGATCAGATGGGAGTTTTCAGAAGATCTCTCTCCAGGCAATTTAGAAGATGAAAGGCACACTGAAGGCAGCAGGGAAGCCAGTTAGAAAACCATTGCGTAGTCGAGGTCATGGTTCCAGGCGATTACAGTATGCCCAGGGAGGCTTTTAGGGTCTGTTTATTGGGGTTAAATGAAGTAACTAGTCTCCTATTGCCCATTCACTGCCTGACAAGATCACTAGTGAGTTTTGGCTCCAGTATTAAAGTCTTGAGTTAGTCAAGCACATTTTTTTCTGGAGTGACAGGCCCTGCTGTTAGTGACTTCACACTGGGCACACTGTAATCATCCAATAACTACTGTCCATTTGCGTCCTCTGATAATGGGAGTTGATGACTCAGAGGCGCTGGGCTGGATCAGAATTAGTGTCCTAGAGTTAACCCAAGAGGGAACATCGGAATGGGCTCATTTACTGCCTCGCCTCCCGTGGACCCACAGAACCAGATAGTGTAAGGTGAATGTATCTCAGACCTACTCACAGGCTGTTTCAAAAAGTGTGCTTGGAAGTAGGTTATTTGGAATTTGGAACATAGCATTCATTAGAAACGAGAACTTGCCTGGTAAGGTAGAGGCGCAATCCAGGTTTCAGATCATGGAGCAAGAGAAACACCGAAGAAACTAAAAAGTTCCTGTTGTCTCAGCTGAAGGTTCTCAGTTGCCCCAGAACATTGCCTAACACAGGTGTGAGTATTTCAGGTTTGAAGGTGCTACAGAAACTCCGTAAGAGACTCCAACTTCTACAGCCCTCTCTCCCCGCCAGATGTGAGAAGTGGCCATGTTAATGTAAAAAGAGCATCAGACTTAAATCGAGATCTGAGCGCAAGCTTCAATGTTGCCTGAATCCCAGACCTTCGCTAGTTTTGACTGTTCTATGCTGCCTCTCCACGAGCAGTAGATGCTCAGTAACATCACTGTCTGTATCTCTTAAGGGCAGATACTCTTGATTCTGAGTATAGAGTGCCAGCCAGCCAGATCAGGCCTGGCTCCTGTCACCTTGGTGATGGTGATGGCCTTGGTGGATTTGACAGATCTGGCTGGCCAGTCCAGCCGTCCACCATCACGCCTGTAGCTTGAGCGAGGCCTTCCCAAAGCTTCAGTTTCTGTCAAAGAGGATGGCTGCCTTTGTCCTACCATGATTTCAAACAAGTAAGATCATACTTTGTAGACGTGAGATGCTTTCTTTTAAGCATAAGAAAAACCACATGGAGCTTTTTGCTCTAGGGAGCTTGTGTCATCTCCTTCAGTGGATAATCCTGCTTTCTTGCTCTTCTAAAATCTTCGCTTCTTCCCCCACCACACACACCCCCATAATTACTTTCTACTTTTGAAAGCCAAGAAGTAATTTATATAGTATAGTATAAGCTGACGTGGGATACAGGAAGAGAAAAACTAGAGAAGGGAAGGGAATTGGGTTGTTAGTTTTAATAGGGTAGTAAGGTTAGACCTTAATGAGAAAGTGGGATTTGACTGAAACTCAAAGGAGATGAGGGAGGTTGTTGCAGTAGACTGGGCGGAAGGGCAGAGGGAACAGCCGGTGCACAGGCCTTGAGTGGGAGTGTGTGTGGAGCCAGACAGGAGGCCAGCCTGGTGGAGCAGCAGATAGGAGGGAGAGGGGCGTGAGAGGGAGCACGTGGGAGGGTGTGACGCCATTGCTTCTCCAACTACAGTGAAGGACCTGCTTTTCTTTCCCTTCTTTATCTATTGCAGACTATTTTTATAAAATCTAGTGAAACCAGGGAGGGGAGCACTACACACTGGGGTCTGTTGGGGAGAAATAGGGGACGGTCAGTGGTAGGTGGGGAGTTGGAGAGAGATAGCATGGGGAGAAATGCCAGATACAGGTGATGGGGAGGAAGGCAGCAAATCACACTGCCACGTGTGTACCTATGCAACAATCTTGCATGTTCTTCACATGTACCCCAAAACCTAAAATGCAATAATAAATTAAAAAAATAAATCTAGTGAAACTAAATTATTAGAAAAATGACATTTAGAGAACATAAAATAAAAGGGCTGGGTACAGTGGTGCACACCTGAAATCCCATGGGAGGTGGAGGAGGGAGGATTACTGGAATTCAAGACCAGCCTGGGGAACATGGTAAAACTCCATCTTTACAAGAAATACAGAAAATTAGGTGTGATGGCACATGCCTTACCTTAGTCCCAGCTACCTGGGAAGCTGAGGTGGGAGGATCATCTGAGCCTGGGAGATTGAGGCTGCAGTGAGTTGTGATCATGCCACTGCACACCAGCCTTAGTGGCAGAGTGAGAGGCACAGTCTTAAAAAAAAGTCCAATGTTTTATTATTAGTCACCTGAAACGACCCTTATCAAATTAGTAGAAAACATTTCTAAATCCTGACTTTGTGTTTCGTTACTCATTTCATCATGGACTGCTGGCCCACAGCGTGCACTAGCACCAGTCCGGGGCCCACACTTTGGGTTGCACTTGTGGAGTTGTAAGGACCTGGCCTGTACTCAGGCAAAGTGGGGAGCTGTTTCAAACAGAACGTGTCATCTGACTTGTATTTTAAGTGAATCACTCTGGCTAGAAGGTGGAGTGCAGGGGGCCTAGGGAAAGAATCAGGGAGACCAGCTGTGAGACTATTGCATTTTACAGGTAAGAGGTGATGATGGCTCAGCCCCGGATGGTAGCATTGGAAATGGTAAAACGTGGTTGGTAATTTTTAAGGTAGAGCCCACAGAACTTCCTGGTGGATTCAATGGCAGGTGTAAAGGAAAGCGTGAAGTCAAGGAATGCTGAGGCTTCAATTTGGATAAGACAAAAGATGAGTTTCTGTCAACTAAGAGTGAGAGAGCTCCAACTGAGATGGAACAAGTTGAGGGGAAGCTCAAGCATTCTGTTTTCTGAATTTTGAGTTACACTTTCATAAGAGATCTAATCAAGTGCAAAATGCCTAATCATTATGATGTTGCCTAAAGACCTGTGACTTAAAGGGGACTCAGCATAGAGAGTAGTCCGAGGAGTCCTTTAAATACATCCTCTCATTTACAGCCCTCCACTGTCCAAGGCAGGGGATATTACTCTGAAAGGGTATAAGGCAATCAGTTCAAATGCTTCCATAAGTGATGGCACTCTCACATTAAACTCTCCCCTATTTGGAAATGATTCTAGATTTTTTTAAACCTAGTGACAAGTAAGAGAACTGTTGTCTCATTTCAAAGATACCAAATTTGGATGACCTTAAATTCCATGAGGCAGCTATAGAATTGGTTAGAACTTAACAGCAATCTGGCTGCATCATCTGCCACCCATTTGGTTGCCAGGATTAATTTGGCTTCTCTGATTGCTAATGGTTATAGAATTTATTAGCAAACCTTAGTAATACCAAACGCACAACAGCTTTTGACACTTTACTATAGCGAAAAAAGTAAGATACAAAAGTGGGTACAGAGATCATAAGCCCCATTCTTTAAATATATGATATATATGTGCTTACCACAGAACAAAGAGTGAAAGGAAATTGATTAAAATTTTACATGGGATTATTTGGGTAGAGAAACTGTAAGTGGTAGTTTCTCTCTTATATTTTTGGCTTATAATAAAAACAAGTTTCACTCCAATAATTAGCAATAATAAAAACCATTTGTTAAAGAAATGAGCACAACAGATTTGTGAACGCCTCCCTCTCTCCGGCCCACACAGCTCACCATCTGCTACCTGGATATGCTGATGACCAGTGAGGAGCGCCGGAAGCAGCTGAGGGACCAGTACTGCTTCGAATGTGACTGTTTTCGCTGCCAAACCCAGGACAAGGTATGTGGTATGGAAGCAGACTGAAACACCTCCGCGGCAGTATCTCAATGATCTTCAGAGAACTCTGCCTTTATCCCATAAACCCCAAAGTAAATGACTGTCAGTACATGGTAGGAAACGGATAAATAACTCATCGAATTGAATATATTTTGTTTTCTGGAACTTTTGTCACCCACAAAGTTGGTGACAAGCTGAGATTTAACCAAAAGTGAGGACCTATGGGGTTTAGAGTCAAGTGGGAATGTAGGCATTAAACATTTAATTAAAAGGATTGGTGAAGGCCAGGGTGCCAGTAAAACGTGTAGTAAATGGGTTGAGTTACATTATGATTGACAACAGTTACTGCTCGGTAAACAACATGCCAAGTTTTACCTAGTTTGTTTCTTTAAAAATAATTTTCAAAGTAAAATCAGGTTTGTTGAGGTACAATTGATACAAAAATTCACCCTATTTAGTGAGCCAGTTCTATGATTTCAACAAATTCAGTCATGAAACGGCCATCAATAGCAAGATACGGAACAGTTTCACTTCCCAAAAAGGCGCCCTCATGTCCCTTCAGTCACCCCGCCCCAACCCCCGATAATCCCTCATCTGTTTTTTTATCCATATAGTTTTTTCTTTCTGTTTTTAGTTGACACATAATAATTGCAAGTTTATGGGATACAGAGTGATATTTCGTTATGTGTATACTATGTGTAGTATCAAATCAGAGTAATTAGCATGTCTTACTTCATACATTTATCATTTCTTTGTGTTGTGAACATTCAAAATCCTGTTTTAGTGTTTGAAGAATATACGATAAATTAAAGTGAACCATATTCACCCTACAGTGCTGCAGAGCACCAGATTCATTCCTCCTATCTAAGTTTGTGTTTGTTAACCAACCTCTCCCCACCCTCCCAGCCTCTAGTACCCACAGTTCTGCTCTCTACTTCCATGCGATCAGTTTTTTTTTTGTTCCTACATATGAGTAAGAACAAGTAGTATTTATCTTTCTGTGCCTGACTGATTTTGCTTAACATAATGTCCTCTAGGCCCAGCCATGTTGCCACAAATGACAGAATATCATTTTTTATGGCTAAATAATATTCCATTGTGTGAATATACCACATTTTTTAAATCTAGTAGGTTAATTCATCTTAGTTTTTGTGAATAGTGCTGTTATAATAAACATGGGGCTGTAGGTATCCCTTTGATATACTGATTTTCTGTCCTTTGAATAAATACCCAGTACTACAATTGCTAGATTGTATGGTAGTTCTATTTTTAGAACCTCTCATGCTGTTTTCCATAATGGTGGTACAATTAGTTGGATGCAAAAGTAATTGGGGTTTTCGCCATTAAAAGTAGCCTCATTGTAGAGGCCTTTCACCTCCTTGGCTAAATTTATTCCTAGGTGTCTTTTTTTGGGGGGCAGTGGGCAGCTAATACTTTGTTTGTTTTGCTTTGCTCTGTTGCCCAGGCTGGAGTGCAGTGGCAGGATCTCAGCTCACTGCAACCTCCGCCTCCCGGGTTTAAGTGATTCTCCTACCTCAGCCTCCCGAGTAGCTGGGATGACAGGCACCCACCACCACACCCAGCTAATTTTTGTAATTTTAGTAGAGACAGGTTTCACCATCTTGGCCAGGCTGGTCTTGAACTCCTGACCTCATGATCTTCCCACCTTAGCCTCCTAAAGTGCTGGAATTACAGGCGTGAGCCCCCGTGCCCTGCCAAAAATTATTTTTAATGGCAAAAACCACAGTTACTTTTGCACCAGCCTGGTGTAAGAGTCCCTTTTCTCCACAGCCTTGACAGCTTTTTGTCATTTTGATAATAGTCATTCTAATTGGGGTGAGATGACACCTCATTTTTGTTTTGATTTGCATTTCCCTGGTGATTGGTGATGAGCATTTTTATTGGCCTTTGGTATAAGTGTTAGAGAAATGTCTATTCAGATCCTTTGCCCACTTTTGAATTGGATTATTTGTGATATTTTTGTTGTTGAGTTGTTTGAGGTCCTTGTATATTCTGGATATTAGTCCCTTTTTCAATGCATAGTTTGCAGATATTTTCTGCCATTTTATAGGTTGTCTCTTCACTCTGTTAAGTGTTTCCTTTGCTCTGCAGAAGCAATTTGGTTCAATGCAGTCTCATTTGTTTTTGTTTTTGTTGCCTGTGCTTTTGTGGTCTTACCCGTAAAATCTTTGCCTAGACCAGTGTCCTGAAGTGTTTCCCCTGTTTTCTTGTAGTATTATAGTTTCCAGACTCACAGTCATTATTTTGATTGATTTTTCTGTGTGGTGACAGATAACAGTTTAGTTTCATTCTTCACATGGATATCCACTTTTCTGATGAGGAATCATTGAAGAGGTGTCCTTTCCCCACTGTGTGTTCTTGATGCCTTTGTTGACAATCAGTTGCCTCTAAATACATGAATTTAAGTTTTCTGTTCTGTTCCATTGGACTATGTGTCTGTTTTTATACCAATACTATGCTTTTTTTGTTAGTATAACTTTGTAGAATATTTTGAAATTAGGTAGTGTGATGCCTACTTTAAAAATATTTTTTTCAAAATATATTTAGGGGTTTTCTATAAAAAGCTTTGTTCTTTTTGCTCAGTATTGCTTTGACTATTTGGGGTTTTTTGTGTTTTCATATCAATTTTAGGATCATTTGTTCTATTTCTGTGGTATTTTGGTATTTTGATAGGGATTGCATTGAATCTTTAGACTGCTTTGGATAGTATTATCATTTGACAATATTAATTCTTGCAACTCATAAGCATAGTATGTCTTTCCATTTTTGTCCTCTTTGATTTCTTTTATCAGTGTTTTATAGTTCTCACTGTAGAGGCCTTTCACTTCCTTGGTTAAATTTATTCCTAGGTATCTATTTTTGTTGGGTGGATAGCTATTGTAAATGGGATTACTTTCTTGATTTCTGTTTCAGGTAGTTCATTATTGTATAGAGACATTGATGATTTTTGCTTGTTGATTTTGTATCTTGCAGCTTTACTGAATTTATCAGTTCTAAGGGTATTTTGGTGGGGTCTTTCATTTTCTCCATATATAAGGTCATGTTGTCTGCAAAGGGAGGACAGTGTGATTTCTTCTTTTGCAATTTAAATGCCCTTTATTGCTTTTTAAACATTTTTATTGATATAGTTGTACATATTTATGGGGTACATGTGGTATTTTGATACCAGCATACAGTGTGTGATGCTCAAATATGGGTAACTGGGAGATCCATCTCCTCAAAAATTTATTTATGTTGGGAACATTCTAAAATTTCTCTTCTAGCTATTTTGAAATACACAGTAAATTATTAACTATAGTTGCCCTATTGTGCAACTGAACACAATAGGAAGATCTTATTCCTTCTATTGAACTGTAATCTTGCATGCATTAACTAACCCCTCTTCATCCCTCTCTACCTACTACTCTTTCCAGCCTCAAAACCACTATTGCATTTGTTATCTCTATGAAATCAGCTTCTTTTTACTTTCCATGTATGAGTGAGAAAATGAGATATTTTGTCTTGCCCTGTCTGGCTTATTTCACATAATGTAATGTCCTTAAGTTCTATCCATGTTGCCGCAAATGACAGGACTTTATTACTTTTTAGAGAAGAAAAATACTCAGTTGTCTATATATATTACATTTTTTAAAACTCATTCATTGATTGACACTTAGGTTCATCCATGCCTTGGCTATTTTGAATAGTGCAGCAATAAACATGGGAGTGCAGCTATCTCTTTGATATTCCGATTTCTTTCTTTCTTTCTTTCTTTTTTTTTTTTCTTTTTTTTTTTTTTTTTTTTTTTGGATCTATACCCAGTGTCAGGATTGCTTGGTCATACAATAGTTGCATTTTAAGTTTCTTGAAGAACCTCCTTACTGTTCCCCATAGTGGTTGTACTAATTTACATTCCACCAACAGTGTGTGAGCGTTCCCCTTTCTCCACATTCTTGCCAGCATTTGTTATTTTCTTTCTTTTCCGTAGTAGCCATTTTGACTGGGGAGATGGCTTCTCATTGTGGTTTTGATTTGCATTTCCCTGACCATTAATATTGTTGAACGTTTTTTAATATAGCTGTTGGCTATTTGTATGAATATTTTGGGAAATATTCTGACTTTTGCCTGTTCTTAATTGGATTATTTGGTTTTTGCTATTGAGTTTGAGTTCCTGTATATTCTGGTTATTAATCTCTCATCTAATGAATAATTTGCAAATTTTTTTTCAATTCTGTAGGTTGTTTCTTCACTTCATTGATTATTTTCTTTGCTGTGCAGAAGCTTTCTAGCTTGATAGAATCTCTTGTTTCTATATTTCCTTTGATTGCCTGTGCTTTTGAGGTCTTGCTCAATAAATAGTTGCCCAGCTTCATGTCCTGAAGTGTTTCTCCAATGTTTTCTTATAGTAGTTTCATGGTTTTAGGTCTTATATTTAAATATTTAAGCTGTTTTGATATAACTTTTGTATATAGTGAGAGAGAGGGGTCTAGTTTCTTTCTTTGGCATATGGCTATACAGATTTTCCTTTCTCCGTGTATGTTCTTGGTGACTTTCTTGGAAATCCATGGACTGTAAATATGTGGATTTGTTTCTAGGTTTTCTGTTCTCTTCCATTCCATCCATCTATGTGCCTGTTTTTATGCTGTTTCCATGCTTCTTTTGGTTATTGTACTTTTATATAGCATTTTGAAGTCAGGTAATGTGATGCCTCCAGCTTCATTTTCTTTGTTCAGGATGCTTTTGTTGTTCCATACAAATTTCAGGATGGCTTTTTTCTTGTCATGTGCAGAATGTCATTAATATTTTGATACGGATTATGCTGAAAATATAGGTTGCTTTGAGTAGTATCGTTTTAACTATATTCTAATCTACATGGAGTATCTTTCCAGTTTATTATGTTCTCTTCAATTTCTTTTATCAGTGCCTTATAGTTTTAATTGTAGAGAGCTCACTTCTTTTGTTAAGTTTAGTTCTAGGTGTTCATGCTATTTTATTGTAGCTGTTGCAAAAGGGATTCCTTTCTTTATTTTCTGATATTTGCTGTTGGCATATAGAAGTGCTGGTGATTTTTGCATGTCGATTTTGTTTTCTGTGACTTTACTGAATTAATCAGCTTAACAGTTTTTGTTGGAGTCTTGTGGTTTTCCTAGATGTAAGATCATGCTGTTTGTGAACAAGGTTAATTAGGATTCTTTTCTAATTTGGACGCCCTTTAATTTTTTCTCTTGTCTAATTGCTCTGGCTAGGAATTCCAATATTATGTTGAGTAAAAGTAGGTAGTAAAGGAGGGGGTTTAAATTTTTCCCCACTCAGTGTGATGCTAGCTTGGGGTTTGTCATATATGGCCCTTTTTTCTGAAGTATGTTACTCACATACCTAGGTTTTTTAGATTTTTTTATCATGAAAGCATATTGAATTTTATTGAAGTTTTTTTCAGCATCCATTGAAATGATATGTTTTTGTCATTGATTCTGTTAATGTGATGTATCACATTTATTGATTTACATATGTTCAACCATCCTTCCATCCCTGGGATGAATCCCACTTAATTATGGTAAATGACCTTTTTAATGTTGAATTTGGTCTGCCAGAATTTTGATGAAAAAAAAAATGCATCTATGCTAATCAGTGATATTAGCCTGTAGTTTTTTCTTGTTCTGTCTTTGTCTGGTTTTAGTATCAGGGTAATGCTGGTTTTATATAATGAGTTTCAAAGTATTTCATCCTCCTTGTTTTTTTTTTTTTTTTTTTTAAATAGTATGAGTAGAATTGGTATTCATTCTTCTTTATATGTTTGGTAGAACTCAGCAGTTAAGCCATCAGGTCCTAGACTTTTCTTTGATGGGAGAGTTTATTACTGTTGCAATCTCATTACTTGCTACTGTTCCATTCACATTTTCTGTTTTCATCACAGTTTAATCTAGGTAGTTTGTGTGTGACTGGGAATTTATCTATTTCTTACTAGGTTTTCCAATTTATTGGCATACAGTTGTTCCTAACAGTCTCTCATGATGCTTTGAATTTCTGAGGGATCTGTTATCATTTCCCCTTTTTCCTCACTGATTTTACTTATTTGAGTTTTCTTTCTCTTTTCTTGACCCTGAAGAGGTAGCATTGCTGTAGGTGGCAGTGGCCCCAGGCAGGCAGCTCCCATTCTCTGAGGAAGATGTGCTTTAGCTCCATGTGTTTGGGGGCAGCCTCACTGTTGCACTGGTTTCCCTGGTCCCCAGGGTATAGGACACAGTGTGTACTAGAGTGCTGGATATTTGGCCATACCACTTGGTCCAGCTGGTCTCATGATACTGCAGCCCTCTGAGTGGATATGGTGGAATATCGGTGGCATTCCAGGGATATAGAAATGGAGGGGCTTCTGGGGTCCAGGGCAGAATATAGTCTGGTGGCACTGGGTTTTCAAAATGGTGCCATGCCACAGCACCTGGGGTCCTCAGGGGTGACTAAAATCCATGAATGCCCTCTGGAACAATTCCATGATGGACTCCAGTCAACTCCTGTACTAGGCTCAGGGCCTGTGAGACTGAGCAGCTCTCCTATGGCTAGGATGGTGGGCATCTGTGGCGGTAATGTGGGCAACTGGAGATGTCTTGCTTGCCTTTTCCTTACAGCAAGGAGCTTTTCCTGGCTCTGAGCCGGTCCTGGCCAGGACAGCTGCTTATCTTCTCTTGTTCCCTGTGCCTTGGAGAGTCCCCATCCCTTTCATGCTGAAGTCCATTGTTTGCTCTCAGATGCTCTCTTTAACTTGTAGTTTTCTGCTTACTGTTTTGGTTCTTTTTTGTGGAAGAGATGAGTACCAGCTGCCTCTAGTCGGCCATCTTGATAACATCTCTGTTTCTTTAACATTTGCTGCATAAAGCTTTCCACTGCAGCACATTATTAGACTGAGATCACTTATCCAATGACTTTTACTTTCTGAGAAAGGAAGGAGAGACAAAATAAATGCCCTAAATGTAATGAATGGACTTTTCTTCTGTTTCTCATTTACCTTTTTCATATTGGACCTACTTACTTTTACGTCCAATATAAAATATTTCACATAATTGAGTTGTCTAAAGAAATCTTTTGAAGAATGTCTACATTGTTAGAATTCTTTGTTATCTTTTTTGGTCTCAGTAATTAATAAGTAAATTAGGAAGTGAAACTCAGAAAGGTTCAGAGATATGCCTCTGGGATAAGATAAAGGAAAAAGTGGCAAAACCAGGTGTGACACTCGGATCTCCTGACTAAATCTAATGCTCCTGCCAATATACCACAACTCACTGTACTCCAGTGCCAACCGTGCACCGAGAGAGGTCGTTGCTGTCACTGCGTGAGAAAGGACCCTGACCTCTTTCTAATGCTGTAGGAGTCAGTGAACATGATGAGTTTTGCCTTAAGAAGGACTTGTAGAAATAAAGGAATTAAGTGGGAAAAGTTGAATCCACTGCTAATAGCTCCTGAAGATTCAATTCACATTATTGTTAGCCTTTTGCCGCAGGCAAGAATGACAGAAATGATGGGAAACTGCCTGGGGTTCCTCCGCAGACCGTGACCTGGAATAGCTTTCCACTGGGATGCTTGCTTGGAAATCAGAAGGCTCTCGTATTTAGTTCCTCTTAGGTGCCGTGAGTGTGGTGGATCTTCAGAAATTTCTTGAATGAATGAATAATTATTTTATAATATTGTGGTCATGGCCCTTTTAGTTTCATTGTAACAGGTGAAATCTGGGGTGCAATAGTACATTAGGAAAGGGTTTGGCTATAAATAACAGGTAACTAAAACTAGCTTTAGTGGGTGGGGTGCATGTGTCTTAAGAATTCTGGAGAAGTAATCCAGGGTGACAGCAGCTACTCACAGATCTCCTCATGGACCTGAAACCTTCTGTCTTCCTCCTCAGTCATCCCTAGCATGCGGGTTTGTCCTTACCATCTGAAGATGACTGCTGCCTCTAAACCCCAGTCAGTGTGTCTGAGCTCTGGAGAAAAAAGAAGGAGTAATAAAAAGCAAAGAGCAAAGGGAAGGTCTCCTAAGGATGTCTACCCGCACTTTATTGTTCAAAATGATGTGATTCACATTATTATTCAGAATGGTGTCATGTGGCCATCTTTAGCTGTATAAGAGGCTAGGAACTATTTTAGCTTTTTAGTCTTTATACAAGAGAAAGACAAGAGAAAACAGGGGTTAAATGGATTTGGGGTTGCTAGTTCACAGTGTCTACCATACCCATTTTCTGCATTGAGCTAAAAGTTTATTTAATATTAAACTTAGGGTTTTCCAGAGAAGCAGAACAAACAGGATGGAGTGGGGTGGGGGAGAGATTTATTTTAAGGAATTGTCTCACATGATTATGGATGTTAGGAAGTCTCAAGATCTGCAGCTGGTAAGCTGGACACCCAGAAGAGCCATAGTATAGTTTCAGGAGAAGTGTGAAGGCCTGAGAACCAGGAGAGCCAGTGGTGTAAGTTCCATTCCAAAAGCTGACAGGCCCAAGTTCCAAGAACTGATCAGTCCAGCTCAAACAGTAAGCCAGGAGGAATTCCCTTTTACTTTTACTTGAGTGAGTGTCTGCCTTTTTGTTCTACTCAGTCCTTCAGCTGATTAGGTGAGGGCCAGCCATATTAGAGAGAGCAGTCTCCTTTACTCAATCTGTGAATTCCAGTGGCAAGCTCATACAGAAATACTCTCACAGACACACTAAGAATAATGTTTAACCAAGTATCTGGGCACCCTGTGGCCCACTCAAGTTAACATATAACATTGACCATTACAAATATTGAGACGAGTCAAATGGTGTAATCAAAACAGTACTTGATTACTCTGCTGGATTATACTCCATGCTGTATCTGTCTAATAAACAGAATGGTCTTGGGCAAGTCATTGAACCTCCCTGGATTTGCATCCTCTGTAATACAAAAGAATTAGACTAGATAGCCTTTGGGCTTTCCCAGTTTCCATGAAATGTTTTCCAGTGGAAGAGAGTAGATGAAGATGTGCACAGATGAGACTATAAACTAAGTTTGCAGCTAATTTTTCAGTTATTTTTTAAGTCTCTATCTGAGAATTTTGTTCTGTTTAGTGATGTCAACACTCCTCTGAGATGTCTGTACTGTTGATTTGCCTAGAAAAAATAATACAGAGGTAAATTCAGCTTAGTCCATTCCCAAGAGATCATAAATTCAACATTGGTTTAATCAAAATTAAATTTCAGTTCCTAAAGTTTCCAAGCCTATTTTTCTGCTTTTCTTGGAACCTAGAAAATTCACCTCACCAGTTTTCTGCATCAAGCAATATTTATTATGTGCCTACATCTGCATATTACTGGACTTGCACAGTATCAGGTTTCAGGAAGGTAGGAACCCTTTTAATAGCAAGTATAATTTGCATGTATAGAGTTGTCATTTGTTATCAGCTGCAGCTTAATTTCTGGAAAAAATAAAATAAAACTTACCTTCTAAGGGAGGTTTTGGAATGATCTGAGTTCTCATGGCTTGCCCAGGTCAGAATCCAATAGATTCTGTTCAGCAATAGAAGCTGAACAGACCAAATGGAATTGATTGTTTCCATAAGTTTGTGACTAGAACATAGCATGTTGCTTTGGATGTCATATGCCTTGTTGGGAAAAAACAACAACAACAACAAACTATAGTTACTTGCCATGCCAATTTTTCTTTCCTAAGTCCTGTTAATTATTTTAAAACACCATATCTATCAATCTATCCAAAGCCCTGTGGCCTCACTGCTAGATTATTGAAATAGCTCCTAATTTATTCACCTGGCTCTCAATTTCATTCTTTTCATCCGTGGCACACATTATTTTAGGTAAACCTTCCCAGATACCACTGTTCCCATGTTATTACTTTGCTCAGAAATTTTCAAGCATTAAGCATCATCTTTCGTGTTCAGGATAAACTTCACACTCTTAGGCTGGCATTCAGTGCTCTCCAAAGTCGTGACCCCAACATTCAACCTACTTTTGTTCCCTTTTTGTTTTTCAAAATACCAGTCTCCTTTATCTAATGAGACTGTTTCCTCCACCCAAAAGATTTTGAAGTAGCTTACACACACACATTCACAAAAATACATACACGTGTGTATTATGTATATACTTGCATATGTAATACAACAGCAATAAATTTTATTTTTGAGAAAGAAAAGTGA